ATATAGACTAATTATATCATTTGGATGTCAACAAAGAGTATGACATCACTCAATTTTCTAATACACATGTTAAAATCTATTTTGACTTGCTGATTAGATAAGTGTAGTCATTATTGTTGTTGTTGCTGTTGGGGTTTTGTTGTGGGTGATCTGCTGGTAGGTCATTCACTAATAGGAGAAAACATATTAAACAGCCTTATCCTGCTGTTTCCAACAAAGCAGGTCATTAGTTTGTGCATCAGTGATAGAATGCCTGGAGATTAATGGAAAGGAGTCATTCCAGTACAACTGCACTATAAAAGGATAATAAATGGAGACCATTCTACTTCTCGGTGATTTTCCTTTTCAGGACACTGTCAGTTGGTTCTTGTCTTTCTTCCACTCATGTGGAACTCACTTAAGATGTGAAATAAGATGACCTCACTACTGCTCTCTGATTTCCTGATAGTGAAAGCTAAAAGCAGATCTTGTTTGGGCAGCTGTGCATAGAAGGTGTTCAGATGTGAAAGACATTCAGTACTGCCTGTGGCCTAAAATGTCATACAAGTTTTATTGCAGCCTTTTCCACTCTCTAACTTAGGAGAAAACTTGGTGCCAATCTGTTTCTTTCCCTTGGAGAGTTGTACATTAGCTCCACCAGTGTTTTGTTCCAGTTGCTGTACACATATTTTGACCAACTTTTCCATTTTTAAACTTCCATACAATAATAGAATTGAGGTTGGAAGGTTCCTCTGGAGGAGACCTACTCCAACCCCCATCTCAAAGCAAGTTAACTTGCATCAAGTTGCTCAAGGACATGTCTAGTGAAGCCTTGAAGACTTCCATCCATGAAGATTCCACAGTCTCTCTGGGTCTCAATTCCAATACATGACCATGATCTCATGGTAATTTTTTTTCTCTCCAGCTGATCAGCACATCCCATGTTGAAACTTTTCCCACTCTGCAGCTTCAACAAGAGCGTGGTTCCGTCTTCTCTATATCATGTGATGAATAACCTTCATTCCCCTGCCTTCAGTACACACCACGCTTCTTTAGGAGCTGCTTTTTACCTGTTCTGAAATTAAAGCTTCCCTAGCCATTGCATGCTGTGTGTCACAGTGACCTTTCCCAAACACTTTCTGCCACCTAAATTTTCTAATTTCTAATCCCATTGATCCCTCCTTAAGCAGAACTGACCTGAATGCAACAAGAGGTTGGCAGTGTTTGGATTTTTTCAGTAAACATCCAAATCTCATTTTTTGTTGCACTTTTAAAAGCCCTGGCAGTAGATATGGAATTTAAGGATTGGAATGGACCTTACAGATCATCCAGTCCTAACCCCCTGCCATGGGCAGAGACATCTCCTCACTAGATCAGGTTGCTCAAGGCTCATCCAGCCTGGCCTGGAACACCACCAGGGTTGGGGCAGCCACAGCCTCCCTGGGCAACATGGGCCAGTGTCTCACCACCCTCACAGGAAAAAACTTCTTTCTAATATCTAACCTAAACTTCCCCTCCTTCAGTTTGAACCCATTACATCTTGTCCTATCATTGCAATTCCTAACCAAGAGTCCCTCTCTGGTTCCTTGTACAACCCAAGGCAGCAGGTGCAGGAGCAGCCACCTAAGGCAGATCCCCCTCAGTTAGGTAGGAACCAAATCATTTTCTTTGCTAAGACTGAAACCATACACAATGCCTATGGCACCACTGGGAAAACCTACACGGTCAGGATGGGATAGCACCCAACAGCACTGCCCATTGCTCCCCTGAGGCCTGGGCAGAATGAGTGAGATGGGCATTGCTCCAAGACATTGGCAATGAGCACACCTAGAAGGAATCTGGCCAGCATGGGAGCATTACAGGTGGTCTTGAGAAACCAACTTCTACGAGGAATTGGTCATGAATGTGGGAGGGAGTGAGGAGAACAGCCAAGTGTGGGCTATGAGTTAGCATAAAGATAATAATTTTAACTTCCATTCTGGTATGTTTTGTTTCTTATATCTGAAGACTGCAGAACCCATGAAGTTGTGTTCCTGTATTTTTCCTACATTTTCAGAATAAAGAGGAGAAAGTTTTGTCTAATGATGCCTATACAACACTATAGGCAAAACAATTAAACAGCGTGACACTGGATCCTTGGTTGCCCTTTCTCTTGGCTAGAGAACAAACTGCAGTGGAGATTCTTTTTTATTTTTAACACATTAATCATATTTGTGGTTTGAAACATGCCAGGCAAATACTGTCCTTAGGACTCAAAATATTTAAAGAGGACATGTCTGTATTGTTCTACAGGGGAGCAGCAGAAGTTTTAACAGCTTCTGCCCTTGCAAAGCAAACTGAACTGTGCAAGAGGTAGTAAATCTTCATTTTATAATATGTCAGGGTTGTATAAGGGTTTGCTTGTAATAAAAATCTGCACAATATGACCAACAGAGTTAACTAGTTTTCTTGCTGGTGACTTAAACACCAAAGCTGTGTGCTTGTGTAAAGAACTATCTTGTAAGCCTGTCTAAAGTGTACTGCATTGACCTGTTCTCAGCAAAGACAAACTGCTTGTAAAATACAATCTGCAAAGAATGCAGCATTCCCATAATTTTACCTTTACCCCTGTCCTTTTCTATTTCTCCTAACTGATGCTTCAAACCTGAGCTTGCCTTTCTGCTTAAATAGCAGACTTTTTTGCAAAGTTATTTTGCAGCCAGGGCTGTGACTGAGGGAAGAAATCTGTGGATGAAGTTTTATGGCTCTGTAGCTGCAACTGCAGCACTTGCTACTTATGATGGCAGAAGAGAAGATAAAGACACAGGGCTTTTATTTATTCTCCTTCTCACCCTGATTTAAGACCTCTTTCTCTGTCAACTACTTGTCTCTGCCAACAGTGAATCATATAAGAACTTCCCTGAGATATACAGACTGTGCCTGCACAGCAGTTAGCAACATTCAGGCACCTCTGCAGCAGGTTTGTTTCACTGCAAAGCAGCTCTGAAGGAAACAGCTCTTTATTTCACAATTCTTTAAAGAATAAAATACCACAAAGCATTTTGTTAGAAGTAAGGCTGGGGGAGTGTGTCCTATATGAAATGTGTCCTGAGGTCTTGCATTTATTTAAAGATGTCCAACTTGGCTTCTGGAAACTGATCCCCCAGTGTGATCTCTGCCTCACTCACCACTCAGGACTGATAGAGATCTTTTCTGTAAGTCACAGCTCATGCTCATCTGTACAACTGAGAAGTGGTGCATGCAGCTAACAAGGGGATAACTATACATGTACACTTAGCAATTAATAAAACCCACAAACACCTCCAAGTGCCTCTACCCTGGGCTAAGGTACAGTGTTATCCCTGCATTGTGCCATAGTGACCACCACAAAAATAGAGCAGCAAAATTCAGTACAGGCCAAGACCAGCAGAAAAGAGCAACTACTATTGTCCATTGCTGAGCTGCTCCAAAAGGTAACCATACAATAAGCAGTGTTGTATGTGAGAGAACTGCACATTAGAGAAAAGTATTTTTAGCTGAGGATGTTTATTTTCCTGGTGATGTAAACATAGGGAAAAATGTTGCTAGTAAAGCCCCAGGAAGAAACACTGCAGCTTTGTGCATGGCAAGAAACTAGCAAGAGCTAGCAGCTCCACCTGGTGTTCTTTCCAACCCCCCAGAGAAGCTCTTGGTCCCCACTCAGACCAATTCTCTTAATTCCCATCTTTTTAACCCACTAAGTGCCATAGAAATGTATGGGAAAATATCTGGCTAGCTTACAGTATGTTCAAAGTAGTTTGGTTTGCATGGATACAAGTAATTAGATTATTAAATAAGTTATTATTTTTATTACAGGTAAGCAAATTACAAGTTGGAAGAGACCTTAAAGGTCATCTAGTTCCAACCCTTGCCATGGGCAGGGACACCTTCCACTAGACCAGGTTGCTCAGAGCCTCATCCAGCCTGGCCTAGAACACTTCAAGGATGGGGAGTCCACAATCTGTCTGGGCAAATGAAGCAAAGACCTTCAACCCTTAGTTTGGATGTGACTAATAAATCCTGCTTATAGTAGGATGCATCAGTTTAAGCACAGCCATCAATGAACGTGTGTTTTAGCCTGTCCTCCCTTGAATACCTGTGGAATTAGTTCACTTGATGGAGAGTGAGTTTGTGTCTGCCCACAGGGTCCTCTTCAGACATACCCTCAGGGCTTTTTTTCTATCAGGCAGTTTTGAAAACAAGCCTGAGGCACCTTTGGAAATTTCTGGAACAATATCTTCCTTGCCTATTAAGCTAAGATTGCATTTTGCATCTTGCAATGCTACTTTTAGTGGGAAGTTCTTCTTAAAACTAAATTCAAACCTTGGATAAAAAATAAATCAAACCTAGGATAAAACCTATGTAAGTAATTTTTTCAATGGACGTGAAAATATATATCCATGGGTATTTACAAAGAGCAATTGGCCCTTGTGTTTAAATATAGCTGGATTTCTTTGTGACCCAGAGAGGGAGAAAGATAACCTGGTATTCAATTCAAATTTCCTCTTGTCACTTTCTCAGCAAGTAATAGCATGTAGAGCTAGAGTGGGCAAATACTCCAGGCACAAATAAGCTTATTCACAAGCAAATATGTTTGTTTATAAGTCATTATGTTCCTTCACACATGAATACTCAAGCCAAAAAGGCAGGAACTTAGATCAAAACGCATCAAGTTGGGTATATAAATACATGCCTCCAGCTGCAACAGGGCTGGTGCAGCTGGTCCTGTAAAACGTAATTTGGTGTATTTTAAACTGACCAAACCTTAAAAGATACTCCACTTCAATTGTGAGCTTAGAAATGGAATAGGTTTTAAACAGTTCAAAAGTTTCATAAGTGGGAGAAAAGAAGCCCAACTCTCGGTCCCCCCCATAGCCCCAGGATCCCTCTTCACCCTTTCTTAGGGAGAACAAACTGCAGGAGAAGAAGTAGCAAGGAGAACATCGAGCACTGAGTATGTACAAACACTGCTCCAGACCCAAAGTCAGTGGTGTGGGACTTACTGTGGGGTAGGGGTGTGAGCAGAAGACGGTGTATTTCCGAATGATGCCGTTCAGCTTGAGGGGAGGGAGCCAGGAGACAAAGACAGTAGAAGCCGAAGCTGCAGCTGCTTTAACACCAGCAGGAGGACCTGGAACTGGAAAACCAAGATGTGTTAGTGGGGCCCAAGGCAGCAACTCAGTCATCCCAGTGTAACAAAGGAGTTAAAAGGAAAAGAGGAGTGTGCTGCTTTGGTAACTGTGCCCCTGTGGACTGAGACAGACACTCTATATTAGCGAGAAGCCTCCACTCTGCCCATGCTGTGGAGAGGGTTTGAAGGGCTTTGTCCCCATCCTCAAGATGGGAGAGGCTCTGCTTCAGAGGGTCCCATAGCAGAAGCTGCCACTGATGGTTAAATTTTTGTGAAGACTCTCCCCTAGCCTGCAAATAATCATAGAATAAATCGCAGAATGGTTTGGATTAGAGGAGACCTTGAAGACCATCTAGTTCCAACCCCTGCTATGGGTAGGGACAACTTTCACTAGCCCAGGTTGCTCCAAGCCCCATCCAACCTGGACTGCAACACTCCCAGGGATGGAGCAGCCACAACTTCTCCTGCGCCAGTCACATGTGCCAGTGCCTCAGCACCCCACAGGAAAGAATTTCTCCCATGGATCTAACCTAAGTTTCCCCTTTCAGTCTGAACCCAAATGTATGTATGAAAATATATTGGCTGTGGTCAGTGAAATTACCAAACAACATATTATGATACATTGTCAACTTTGAACACATAACTCATGACAAATTACTGTTCACTGTATAAATAATACACATGTGAACAGTTTAATGGACAGACACTGTAGAGCTGTGAATTTAATGAAGTGGAGTGTAAATGAGTTGTTTTTGCTTGCAGTTAGCACTGCCTGATGTGACCCAGGTCTAGCTAGTGGCATGATGTGTGAGCAGACATCTGACCACACACTATCCCTGGCCCTTATCCTGCCCTCAGCAGCTCAGACCTCTATCTGGCACTGCAGTATATGAACACATATCTATTTCTTTAAGTACACCAGCTATCTATATAAGCCATCAAAAACTGTCACAGAGAAAGAGGAAAAAAACCCCAAACCTCCTGTCTAAACCCATGTGGAAAAAGCTTCAGCTAGGAAATGCTAAAATCTTGGTGCATAATCATAACTATATCCCTTAGCAGGCTTGCATTTGGAGAAAGGCTTTAATTTCATGAGCATATGTTGTTTTTCAAATGCACATTACACTGTACAATGTTATCCAACTTTGAAAAGACTCTTATACTAATGTGCAAAAATGCTCAAATCCTTCCTGCATGCCAGAATATCACATTATACATAAGCTTGTGCTTAAACAAACCAGCAAGGGCTACATTGGACGTCAGAATAAATGGGTTTAAAGTTTCCTGAAAAAACATATCTTGTGTCAAAATCATAGAATCATAGAATTTAAGTATTGGAATGGACAGATTATCCAGTCCCAACCCCCTGCCATGGGCAGGGACACCTCCTCACTAGATCAGGTTGCTCAAGGCGCATCCCGCCTGGCCTTGAGCACTGCCAGGGTCAGGGCAGCCACAGCCTCCCTGGGCAATCTGTGCCAGTGTCTCACCACCCTTAGAGTAAAAAACCTTTTTCTAATATCTAACCTAAACTTCCCCTCCTTCAGTTTGAACCCATTACCCCTTGTCCTGTCACTGGAGTTCCTAACACAGAGTCCCTCTCCAGCTCCTTATAGGCCCTTCAGATACTGAAAAGTTGCTCTGAGGTCTCCTTGTACTTGAAAATATTAAAAAACCCTAAAAATAGGAATGATTTGAAATATAATTTAACACTGTGTGTGGTGAATATGTCAGATTATGTCATATCAAATTATTAAGAGAGATATTTTGTATTGGAAATTACTACATGTGGCATTAACAACCAAATGAAACATTTTGATGGACTCCGTTCTCTACAGAACTTCTGCTTCATGAGGAACCTAATATTTTTGCCTAATTTCAAGCAAAACAACCAAAACGTTAGAACTTCCAGTAAAAATTCTATTGCAATCCCTGATCAGCTTTCTGTACTTTTACAGAAAGCAGTTACTGGGCAAGAGAGATGGAAAAGCCCTTGTCCAGCTAGCTGGTCTTTGTAGATGGATTCTGAATCTTTGTTCTATCTCTTTTAAGTAAGTACTACATTAAGTGGCACAAAACTTTGCCCACGAAGAGAAGCCAGATAGCCTGGGGGGTCTAAATTTCCTCAGTTTTGTGGCTAGTTATAAGAAGCACCTAAGGAGAACTTCAATTTTATATCTGCACAGGTGCTGCTGGAAGAGAGAAGAAAACTGAGAGGCACCACTCAGTGCAATGTTTCTGAATATGCATTTTCTATTTGTAGTGTGCTGAGAAAGCTAATTAGGCATCAAGTGAGAACGTCACGATGGTAATTGCATGCAAACCCAGCCCCTCGCTGCAAAGGGGCTAATTCAGTTAGCAGCTCTATCCAATGCAGAGTAAATATTGATGCTTGACAGCATTCAACTTGTTATTTATCCCCAGCTCATTAGAAATGCTATTTGCTCCTGCTGCTGAAGAGTGAAAGCTGGCTCTCCAGGGTAATTACCTAACCCACAGGAGGATTCTGTTCTGGTTAGCAATGTTTTCTGGAAATCACTGCAAATAGATGTATGAGGTTAACGCAATTTATTGTTAAATGAAGGTGTGATCTATAGGGACAGGTTCTGATGGTAATTGGTCATGGCTGTCAGTTGTTGAGAGATTAACTCAGAATTCATCTAGCATTTTCCAGTCAATGGATACATGTGGAAAACATCACTTGCCATTGCTGTGGTGTTACTCTTTGGTAGGAGACCAGCAGAAAGGGGCTAGAAAGAAACGGCATGTAATCAAATTTCTAACCCAAGGACCTTTTCACCTCATGGTGTAGGGGTTGGAATCAGACAAATCTTCTGAATGTTCATTAGCTACTCCTCCTTTTGCTACACTGTCTTTGGTTTTGGGTTGTGTACATGAAACTGGTGGTGTGTCATTCCTCTGTGTTTAGATTTCCTCAGCCAACCATCTGGAACCTTATAGACCACAACTGTCCTCTGTCCAGAGGGTAAAGTCACATGCCAAACTCATCTCCTGGACTTAAACATGAATTAGCTCAGCATTAACTGAAACATATTTTACTAAACCTGAGTTCCTTGAGTACCTGAAAAAGTTGTGGAGAGGGAATGTGGTGCCTGCCTTATTTTGGAAAGACCTAAGTCTTGCTAGGCTAACTTAAAGTATTTTCCCTCATTGTCATTGCCTCCCATAGCCTTACTAGCTTCAGTCATTATGGAGACTTGGGCTGTCTTATTGAATTCTCTCTGTGGACCTTTATTTAGCACACTGATTCCCACAAATCCCATCGTAGACATGCTAAATGTGCACAATGCCATAGTTTCTTTTCATCATGGTCACCAGGGGTAAAACAATGGTGAGAAGCCCGACGACCTGGGCTGAGCACAGAGAAGCTGAGGACAGCTTTGAGACAACATTGCAACCTTCCAGGGAGCAGATTTGGCAAATTTTAGATCAAAGATGGCCTCATTCTCCAGCTAGCAAAGCTTTGAAAGACACAGAAATAGCATGCTGCTTTCATGTGGAGGAGAACACTTTGTATTCCTGACAGTGCAAGTGAAATGCTAAACGCAGAGAAGGCAATTATACTGCTACAAGAGTCTGGGAAACAGCATTTAGATGTGCCAGATAGTGGGGAGGAGGTCCAGAAACTTTCTCATTCCCCTTTTCATAAGCAGAGAGATTATCACCACTTCTCCTCACAGTGCTGAACAGCAGGGAGGCAAATGCACAGAGCACTGTGTATTGAAGAGTGATATCACCAATATATCAGAAAACTGAGCCCTTTTCTGTAACAGGTTTTTAATTCTGCATGGCACAGGACTATCCTAGTGCTGCTTGCACTTAGAAAAGTCAAAATAAACTTAACTTTTGCCTGCTGGCTATTTGTTCACATAGATATCCCACCCATAAAGTAGATCTATGCCAGCCAAAAGATATTCACATGTGCTGCCCACTCCTCATTCCCTCTGTACTGGCCTCATTTTTACCATACCATTTCTATCAGATCCTGCCAGTTTCACAAGGGGAACATTTATTATTCTGCATCTTTTGTTTCTTAGTTAAAAAAAGATAAAATTGGAGATCTCTGACACTAGAAAATAATGCATTATGGGGCCATTAAGGGCACTTTTCCATCACAGAGCCCAGTCATCCTCAGCAGCTTGAACAAGCCCAAGCAGAGCTCTGCTCCAAAGAGTACTGAATGTGCACTTGACTGGATTTATGCTTAATCATTTCAGAAAAAATATAAAGCTTGTCAGATGGTATCTGTACATCCATCTCTCATGCCAATGGCCAGGAAGCTTAGTGCACAGAGAGGGAAAGGACAGGAGGAAAATCTCTCTTGATTCAGCCAGAGTTTTACAATGAGCCTGGCAGAGGGATTTAGGACTATTTCTCCTTCCTCCCTGCAGCTGGTCTCTGCTACTCCATTGCTGCAGTTTTCCCCTTGCTCTGAATGCCGGAGAGCTGGAAGAACAGCACTGCTGCACTTAGCTAAGTCTGCTGTGCCATCCCAAACAGCTTTCTGAGCTGAACAAAACACTTTCTCAAAGGAAACTGATAGGAGAGAGAAATGTGCACCCTCCTGCACCACAGAAAGACAAGATGCAACCTCTGACAGAGGCCTGGTGAAAAGGAGCCACACCAGACCTAATTCCCAACTGCAAGCAGGAAAATTTCCCTGGTTTTCTCTGGGGGCTGTGTCCTTCCCCGGCCAGTTCTGCTCAAGGTCAGGGGTGCTGCTGCCAGCCAAGGTGTTGGTCATATTTTGGGCTTGCTCAGGGAGCAAATTCATTGTTTCAACCGTAGTTTTCTCACATCACATTTGCAGCACAGAAACAGAGAGGGAAATTGTCACACACTCTCCCTCCTGCTACAAAAATGGATGAGCTTTTGAAAGTGAATTTTGAACACAGCAAGGAAAAGAATTTGAAGAACTACTTTAATTTTTAATGATTCAGTAAATCAAGGCCTCAGGTAAAGACAACAAACAGCTTGTTAGAAACTGTAAAGTGAAAAGGGTAAAGGAGAAATCTACAATGAATTCTTAAAAATTTGTTATTCCTGTTTGGCTTATTTTTCTACCAGGAGGAACCCCAAAAAAAGCAGATTCTTTTTCTGAAGGCTAAGGGGGGGAAAAAAGCTAGACAAAACCATAAATATGATCACACTGAAAGGAAACTCATTTTTTGAAAGCTCATTTCCTATTCTTTGCTCGAGCTGTTCCCATTTCCCTAGCTTATCAGCAGCACTGTCTGACCTCTGGTGTCTAAAATCAGTATCAAACATTACAAGAAATCGAAGCATCAACTCATTTCTTCTAGGCTGACTGATTCACTCTTTGGGTTACCCTTCTTTTGCCTCATGGGAGATTTCAAGCCTGCGAAAGAAATTATGGGCTGATATATTCAGCTGAACAGCAACAGAGAATCATAAAATTTAAGGGTTGGAAAGGACATTACAGATCATCTAGTCCCAACTGCCCCTGCCCTGGGCAGGGACACCTCCTCACTAGATCAGGTTGCTCAAGGCTCATCCCGTCTGGCCTGGAACACTGCCAGGGTCAGGGCAGCCACCACATCCCTGGGAAAGAAGACACAGGAGGCCACAATCTGCCTTTCCACAGCAGCAGTGGAACATGCTGCACCATTGATCCCACAAAGAAAATTTTCCCCTTGTGTAAAAGAAATCAAAAAAAGAGAAAGGAATTAATGATGGGAGATGTCCTCATAGTATTAATGCTGTGGAGGGCTTGACAGTCACCTATAAATATCTCAGATTTTCAGATTTTGCTAGAGGAGGATGGAATATCTTGTGTCATAACTTCAGCCAGAGAAGGTCTGGGAGCAGAGACATAAACTTTCCAGTTCCAAGCTCTGTTAAGATGCCAATTATTTTTATTTTACATCAAGAGATGCTTAAACTCACTTCAGTGCAGGATCTTTTGGGTGCACTGAAATTAGTCCTACTGAATAATCTTCTACAGGAGAATTTTCCTTAGACAATTACAGAAGCAATGCTTGTTCATCTGAGGAATGAGGCCCTTGTTTGATGCATATAGTTTGACAAAGTGAATGCTCTTTTCCTGTTTAACTTCCACAGCCTTATGGATGTTTAGACCCAGTACTTTGGGTTTGGCTTATGCTTAACTGCAGATCTCTCTCTATATTTCACTCTAAACCTTCCTGGCCTCAATAAAAGTTGTGAAAAGTACATGAAATCATTGTATTTTCTGCAACACCTTTCCATTTAGTTTTCTGGACAAAAGATTGAATGAATGGAAGCAGTGTGAGGCATCAGAAAATATCTGAAAAGGTTAGTCATGCTGCCTCGGGGTGAATTATTGCTGTGCTGCCAGGAGGATTAAAGAGGAGAGATGAGCCTTTGCACAGCTGCCAAACACAGTCTGGGGCTATGTGCTTCCCTCATCTCGGGGCCTGTCAGATCTCAGAAAGGAAGAGAGTAAAAGAGCCACCAAGAATTAGGGAGAAGCAAACTAGGAAGAGGTGGGTTAAGGGAATAAAAGAATTGAAAATAAAATAATTTGAGCCTTCTGATGTTTGAGAATTGTTGCAAAGTGGAGACAGGTCAGATGAGTTGGAACCACAGAATCATAGAATTTAAGGGTTCGAATTGACCTTACAGATCATCCAGTCCCAACCCCTGCCCTGGGCAGGGACACCTCCTCACTAGATCAGGTTGCTCAAGGCTCATCCAACCTGGCCTGGAACACCACCAGGGTTGGGGCAGCCACAGCCCCCCTGGGCAACCTGGGCCAGTGTCTCACCACCCTTACAGGAAAAAAACTTTGTGCTTTTGAGGTGAGAGGTGTGTGGAGGAATTTCTTTTCATATATACCATAGAATGAATCATAGAATCTTAGAATCATAGAAACATAAAATCACCCAAGTTGGAAGGGACCTTAAAGATCATCTAGTTCCAAACCCTCTGCCATGGGCAGGGACACCTCCCACCAGCCCAGGTTGCTCCAAGCCCCATCCAGCCTGGCCTGGAACACTCCCAGGGAGGGAGCAGCCACAGCTGCTCTGGGCAACCTGTGCCAGTGCCTCAGCACCTCACAGGGAACAATTTCTTCCTAATATCCAATCTAACCCTACTCTCCGACAGTGTGAAGCCATTTCCCTCTTGTTCTGTCACTCCAGACCCTTGTAAATAGTCTCTCTCCATCTTTCTTGTAGAGTCTTTCAGGTACTGGAAGGTCCCAATTAGGTCACCCCAAAGCCTTCTCTTCTCCAGACTGGACAATTCCAATTCTCTCAGCCTTTCCTCATAGATGAGGTGCTCCATCCCTCCAATCATGTTGGTGCCTCCTCTGAACTAGCTCCAACAGATCAATGCCCTTCCTGTGCTGGGGACCCCAGAGCTTCATTTTCAATCACTTCGAAAGAATTAGCTCAACCCCTCAAAATTCTCAAAGAAGACCCTGAAGTATTTGGGGGAAAAAAAACAAAATAAAACCAACAAAAAACAAACCACAAAAAACCCAACAAACTTGCTTAGATGATTGCTGTTAACTACAATCTTCTGTCTCTCCTGAACAGGAGTCTTGGAAACAGTCAGGTTGTTTTCAAAGCTCTGGGCAGATACTTCTCACCATGTACTCCTAACTCAAGGCCTCCAGATAGAACTCTCACTCTGCATTGCAGTTTGGGTACAACTTTTGCCTGAGACACACAAATATTTCCTGGAAGTGAGAATGGAGAATGTTTTCCTCCTTACCATCTTCTTTAGTGCGGGTGAAGATTTGTTCACTCCTCACTCCATCCCCAGCTCGTGTGAAAGCCAACACCTGGATGCTGTAGTTGGTGTATTTTTCCAGACCATCAAGCTCCAGTGATGGCTGTGTAGTAGTGACATTCTTTATCTCTCCTAGCTCTATAAAATAAAAAGGATATTGAGTTATTGTCAAGTTCAGTCTTCTCACAGTTATTGATACCTGCTCTGGAAATCTTGGGGATTAAAATGTGGCCCGGATAAGTAACATTTTGCTATTATCAACAAGCAGTGAATTATAATATATTAAAATAAATTGCTTTATGTCCCAACTACTTACCATTTGAAGCAGATACAGTTTTCATTTTCAAACACTTTCTATTTTTTTCTTGCATTTTTTTTTAAATATGGGGGAAAGAATTGAAAATTTCTACAAGTAATAAGATTTTTCATAAGGAATAGATAACAAGGAGAGATTACTGCAAAACATTCCCTGAAGCAAAAATGAGAAAGTCAGTTATCTTCATAAAGATTTTCTGGTTTTGAGAAAGACCATTTCTCATAAGGAAAATGAAGAAAAAGTCCCCTTTCTTTTAAAATATGTAGCAAGTGCTGCTGCAAAGCACTTGATGGCAGTAATACCAGCTAACAATAGATTTAAACACAGTAAAATCAGATTTACTTGCAGAAAGATGATGCACTTCATATGAATCTTTCTTTCTGTAGCAAGCTAAGAAGCACAACCCATATGGCAAAAAAAAGAAAAAAAAGCTTTAAACATATTTGGGGCAGAAAATAAAGCTGAACAAATGAAGAAAATCCAGTTTTAAGCACTGCATAAACATCATCTCTTTTCATCATGTTGTGGGACATCACACAGGAGCTTAGACATGCACTGAAAATATCCACATGGATCTGATCCAAAGGCTACAGGCGTCACTGAAAAATTTCATTTTATGTCCTCTGTGTTTACATTTTTATATATGCTTCTCATCCATTTTAATCTTTATTTTTAAAGGAATTGATGGTTTATTTGCAAATATTTTTGACTCTACCATTACCAGCAGTGACAACTTCCACTCTGGGTTAGCCACACTAACAGAGAGCAGGATTTGCAAGACAGTTGTGGATTAGAGTGAACTATGATTCTGGTGGATAAAAGCAAAAGAAGCTGTGAAAAATCCACAGGGCAAATAGGTATAAAGGCATGTGCATCTCAAACCTGCTAATGTTTAATTTGCAAGAAAGGACCATACACAGAATTATCACCATGCGATAAATTGCAGATTAATAAGGTACCTCATTTCTCCTTTGATCATTTCACTCCTTCTCTGCTCTGGAGCCTATTTCCCTAGGAATTATGCTAAGAGTACAAAGCATAAGCACAACAGAAGAGGCTGGCATGAAAATAACAAGCCTTTTCCAAAAACATTTCCTTCTTTTGCCCTCAGCTATGGAGATGAAATGCATCCCATCAAAGAATAAGCAATAGAGTATCAAGCAGGCAAACAGATAACCAACCATGCTAAAATAAAACATAGGTTTGGGCAGGTGTGTTCTAGGTCCATGTCATCATTCTTTATGGAAAAAACCCTGCTGCCCTCTGCAACTGGGGTGAAATTTGCTTAGGTTGTGTTGGGTATTAAGGTTAGTATATGGAATACTGCAAATCCACAATGGAAACTTTCCCTGAGGACCCTCCAGGCAGTTTTGCAAAACCTGTCACACTGTTAAAACACTATAAAAAAATTACTTTCCTCACGGGTAGATGAAGCTTTCACTAAACCAAAGAGAAAAGGATGTACAATGCCTTCAGACCAGAGAGCAAATGATAGAAAAGCCACATATGCCTTGTTACCTGGTAACAGATTGATTTCTCTCACCTCCATCCAAGAGATTGGCCCAGTAGATGACCCTGAATCCTTGCAGAATCCCATTCAGGGTTTCCTTTGCCAATGTTGACCAAGAAATTGAAATGGTTTCTGGTGATGTAGCAGTGGCTTGCACATTCCCTGGAGGGCAACTGGGCACTGGAACAAGATATTCACCATTGTTACCTCAATGAATACAACTCTATGTTTACCCTTTGGCTACTCTCACTTTGCACTGCTATCCCACCACACATTATTTAATTAGCAGTTATATGTTGTTAACAATACAAACCCTTTATTCTTATTCCAGTCCACATTTCTGCAAGTGCAGCTGTTTTCCCTGGAATGACTTCTGATGTACTGTTTCTCCTCTTGCTGACTAGTCTTTTAATAAGCTTTTTGCTGCTTCTTTTGAAAGATAAATGTGTCCTAGTGCTGAAATGGGCAGAATATTCTGTAAGCAATTTCAATATATTTTAAGATTGCAGCCAAATTTTAATCTTTCTGGACAGTTCTAATGTCCCTTTAAGTGTGGTGGAGGCAAAAAAAAATTCAGAAAATATTTTCACTGACATTTAGAAAAACTGGAAAAAGTGAACCAATTCTAAGGTGTTTTCTGTTGCCCATTTAGTATCAAAGCAATACAACAGTGTTAGTATTTGGCATAAAAAAATTCACTGACAACAGAAAAATATTTGGCCAGGAAAAACAATGTTGGATTCTGAAGGAAAAACTTTCCTTTTATTACAACACAAAAGATATGTAGGTGTGAGCATTCTGCCTTCTGAGGTTTTTGCAGTGATCTGTCTAGGCTTAGAAACATCTAGACCAAATAAAACTCACCAGTCTTCTATGAAGTGTCTGCCTCAAAATCTGGGGCTCTTGAGGATTTTGGACATGTACTACTCCATTTCCTCCAGGTAAAAAGTCAGATTCCAAGCTGGCACTGACTTCAGTGCCAATTTATAGCAGCTAAAAATCTTACCTACACTATCTTTTAGGATTATTAGTTGCTTTTATACTCTTCTAAAATACTGGATTTTTTTTTTTTTTTGGATGTGGAATCATTCTCTTTTTCCACTAGAGGACTCCCTCTCATTATTTAAGCAGTATTTTTCATGCAGCCTGGAAAAAAATGTCTAAATTGTTCCAAGGATTAGACAGGCTGAATTTTGTCTGAAATAGCAGTGATTTTTCTCTCATTGGTTTGGATATCCTTCAAAAAAATCACACATCTCTCTTTAGGCTGACAAGAGAAGGGATTGTGCAGTACAAGAGCTGTAGTTACACAGCAGATTCATTTGAAACCCAAAGAAAACCAACAAAATTAACAGCATTGCTTTACCTTTTGGAGTTTTACTTCTCAAAACTATGATGAGATCACTCTGAAACTATGATGAGACCACAAAATTTGCAAATATGTAAACATCAGAGCAATAAGCTCTGTAATGAAAGCTGTGGGTTTAGTCAAGATCATTCACAGCAGGATATATTGCGTTAGCAGAGGTATTTTTATTTGCCTGGATGATTCTGCACCTCTTGCAATGAAAAATCACACAAGCTCAAGACATCATACAAGACATTGGTCAGTCTCTTCCCAGACATCCAGATGTCTACTGTATCTAACATCTGTAAAGTCAAGTCTTCTATTTTCCCCACTATAATAATCACTAATCAAACCACAAACGTAACAAGGCAAAAAGCTGTAAAATAATACTAATCTGCCCCATGATATCTGTGTGCCAAGGACCTACCATCCTCAAGAGTTGTGGTGATGATTTCCTGAGAAGAAGGTCCTATTCCAGCCCGGTTGCAAGCCTGGACCACCATGCCATACTGGGTGAATTTTTTCAGGTTATTCAGTGTATAAACTTCACTGTCCCCAGTGGTATCGATGCTGATGATGTTGAACTGGAAGTTTCCCCCTGCACTGTACTCCCGATAACCTATCTGGTATCCACGAATAATTCCATTTTGCAAATGCTTCTTTGGAGCCTAAACAGAAAATGAAAGGTTACACAGGAAGTCCATGTATCAAAGTCAAGTTCTTTCCCTTAAAATTTTCGCAAAACACATAAATTAACATTATTTTCCTCCTACTGGAGGCAAGTCTATTTCCAGGTAACAGTTCAAACCCAGTAACTTTTCACAATGATATATGAATTTCAGGTGTGGTTTATTCAAATCCGAGTATTCCTGTGCTGAAAAAAAGACCTTTAAATGGTTCATACACAGAAAGGAGATACCCTTGCATCTGAATTTGGGATGTTTTGTTCTCTTATCAGGTGAATCAATCAAAGTTGAGTTGATAAGGGTCTATTTGCATTACAGGCCTAGCATTCACTACTAATTGTGTTTTTGCCAGAAGCCTCTACCATTCACTAAACCTTTAATGAGGCATTTATTGATCTGTGGAAAGCAGGCAGAGAAGTTTATTCAGCTCAATGCGTTAGGATAATTTTACGCTGTGCTTTGAAATATGCTGCTGTTCATACAGTGTGGAGTGTAGAAAGATGATTAGATAATGAGTGCTGAAGGCAATAATGAATTGGAAAGCAGGGATTTGCATACTGAATAGCTACAATAGCTGGCATTCAGGAATATGGACAGGACAAAGTGCTTGGCCATAATTATGTGTCATATTTCTCAGTCTCAGTGCAAGATTCCCTGACTAGTGCAAATCATTTGTGTACTCGGCAATATGAAATGTAATCTGGAGCAAAACAGGGGTTGTCAGCTCAGGGGAAAAGCCCATTATTGACAGCAATACCTATTAAAATTCCACTTAAATAGCATTGGACTAATTTCAATATGTGATAAATTTCCTGTCTGCTTTTCTATGCATATGAGGTATAATTAGTATAAGCATTTCAAGACACAGCTTACAATCCATGGACAAAAAGTTCTTTCAAATCCTCCAAACCTCTTTCAAATTCCCACCAGATGCCCACGAGCTCATCTGTTCCACTGACCCATAAAAAAGGTCTTTGTGACACAGTTTATTGGCAATCAGTTAGATGAACAGAGGCAGCAATTTCTGCTGTTCCTATACCCCATTAAACCTCCTGAGGATCACATTCTCAGGAAAAACACTTTTTTTCTGCTACAGGACCTGCCTGTTTCAGTGAGTTTGTCATCCACTGGCCTAAACTCACTGGAGCTAACAAAAACAGTGTGTGATTTGCCTTTCATCCACTGCCAACAAAAGCATTGCTCTGCATACCCAGCACCCTCTCTCTATTTAAAATGTCCTATGTATAAACTATATAGAGAAAAGGTGAAACCAGCAGGTTGCAGACACTGGCTGATGAAGGATGAGAAAAAAACCCCAAAAACCAAAAAAAAAAGTAGGGCATGGGTACAAGCAGGTATTTCCAAGGTCACAGGTAGCTACACCTTAAGTTCACTCCAATTGTGAAAATCTGTCTCTACCTTCAACTCACTAGACTTGTCAGGGCAATGGAGTATATATTTAACACACAGCTTGTTCCTGTGAGTCACTTGTTATAGTACATACTGATTTTTACTTGACAAGAATTCTCAAATCAAATTCCACACATGATCTGAGAATACAACTCCAGCTGCTCATTTGATATGCTTCAATATCAGACAGCACGTAGAGAGGAGGACACTAAGTTGTACTTGAAGTGTCTTGGAAGTGCAAATTGAACCATATTTTAGACAGTGCTATTGAAATGTAGGTGTGGGAATTTTGTTTGTCCTGTAGCTGCCTGTACACATCTGCATCTATAAAATTTAATGGCAAATATTCAGAATCACAAATAACAGCCATAAACTCCAGCAGTGAACCAATGGTGCCTATCTTCTCTTGCTGCTTTTTAAAACATCCCCCAAAGTGAACTTTATAAAGAGCAAGTAAAGCCTTTCAATCTGCCTACCCATAAATCCATAAAAACAAGTTGATGCATAGAAGCTTGGGGGTTATAGTTGACCAGATCAGATGGCACTCACAATTCTTAAGTGGATTAAAAAGAAAAAAAACCCATTAAGCATTTATTTCAGTTGTTGAGAATCACTGTATGGCACTGGTGAGGCCACACTTTGAATCCTGTGCTCATTTCTGGATCCCTCAGTTCAGGAGGGACATTGAGGTGCTGGAGCAGGTCCAGGGAAGAGCAACCAGCACTTAACACTACCTATTTCAGAACTGCAAATATATGGAATCATCAATACCATTTGGAAACTGCCATTCAGATTGGGATTACACTGCTGTAATTAGACAGCTTTATTCTATCCACTAGCAGTATAAGTTACAAAGCCATTTAAAATGTGGTTTAAGTATCCCTGGTATCATGTCAAAGCATTTAAAGCATTTTGTCATTCCCAAAACATCAGGAAAAATCTAGAAAAACTGAGTTACAAGATGTGCCAGATTCTTAAATAATGCCAGTTGCTGATATTTTAAAATCAGTTTATCTTGTTCATCAATTTTCATGGACTACATTGAGGCACTGTACTGCTCTCTCTGCGCTGACATGCCCCCAGGAAGGATCTGTCCCAAAGACCACTGTAATGGGAAAAAAATCCCATTGGTTCCAATGGTTTGGGGGATTTTTTTCCCAAACCACACTGAAATGTTATGAGTTCTCACTTTGCATGCATTTGGCCTTATCTCTGAACTCAGAAGGAAGCAGGGAATGTTCTTGTCATCAGTACAGGCAACTGGCTGCTGCTACTGCTCTCCAATGGAAGTTCTTTCTCTGCATGATGCATCCCTCAATGGCAAACATTTTAAGATCTGTAAGCAAAGGTACCTGCAATATCTCTTCCAGATAAAATAACCAAGGCACAGGTGTTATAGTACTCCCCTCAATGGAACCTCTTGACTGCACCCAAATACTGCCAGAGCCTACATTTGTGGGTGTGTGAGTATTTACCTTCCAGGTGACTCTAATGCTCTGTGATGATATCGGCTCAAGTTGGACATCCTGAGGTGGACCATCAGGAGCTGGAAAGACAGAAGAGAGATGCATTAAAACTGGTCCTTGCAGCCCAAGGAATCCAGCACATCACATAGGCTGTCACCATCTTAACACCACAGCATCGTGGACATTTGGACAGAGTCAGTGTCAATATGGAAAACTTCATCAAATCAAACCAGAGCCTGGCATCATCCACATTCAGGTGTCATCTCTGGCCAACAGTGAAATACAACACACGCCAAGGCATAGCAAACTGGTAAGTAAAATAAGAGTGATTAATAGAGACTTTTCTTGTTCAGTGATACTCTCACAGTGCTGTTTCTGCATTGTAAATAGGCAAGATATATTCTCAGCAGTCAGAACCCTGTGGGTGACAGAAAGGCAGCAGAATCCACTTGAAAGCAGGTTAGACAGGAGCTCCTCATCCAGCCTTCATCATGTTGCAAACTTTGCAGTGGGATCCCCTTTGTTCACTAGAGACTCAGCACACACAGTTCAATGTAATCTATCTTACATCCAAAAACCTACACACATTTTCCCTCTCCTCCTCTGCAGTGTAAGTATTCCAGCCTGAAAATCAGACCAAAAAACCACTTCCAGATGGAAAAATCTTGTTGCAGCTCCTGCCTGAGCCAGGAGAAGCTTCATTTCCTGTCAACATGCTGCCAGAGGTGTGCATGATGCTTTAAAGGCAAATGAAAAAAGAAGGCCCTGAGTCTAGGGGAACCTACTTGTCAGCTGGGCAGCTACAAAGCAGATCAAGAATGGGCTGGGATTGAACACACAGATGTGAAGTAAATTGCTTGCTCAGAGAGGTAAAGCACTGCAAAAGAAAGATCTGAGAGGAAAGGGATGGAGTCATCTCGAGCTGCTGCAGAGGGTTCCCTTGATACAGAATATGGCCTCAGTGAAAGGTATTAAATGAAGTTTAATAGCATGACAAAGGAAGTAAAGCAATAAAAAGGGTGAGATGGGGCTGCGAGAGGTGGAGCAGCAGTAAATGACAACTGTGGTGAAAGGAACCAGAACATTTTGCTTTAACTGATGAAAGCAGAGAGACCCAAAGTACAGCCTGGAATATGTTGAAGTTATTAAATACGTCCTATTCTCTGCCATTCCAGACTGTCCTTCACATGGGAAATTTCTAAAGCTTGAAAGAACTTTATTTCCATTCCTCTTACATTCATGCAGAGGAAGGAGAAGAGGGGAAAATGGCAAAATGAGATCTTTATGAGTCTCTTGAATACTGACTTTGATTTTGTTCCTGAGTTGACAAAAATGAATGCCATTTCTTCAGGTACATTATATGTAGTGGAATTTGAGCAAAGCATTTGATCCTAAAATTGGGGTTTAAAATATGTCCCTTAAAATCTTGACTCCTCCTTAAAAGACACCAAAGTTCTTATAGACCTGAACAGTTAACTTCTCTCAGCATGTCATGGAGAAATCTTAAATCTGAAGTAATTTTTTCTGCATACTTAATGTCATACAGAGTTTATGGCAAGGACATAAAACAAAACCCCACAGATATTTCAGTTTCCTCTATTAATTTCAGGATTAGACAATGGCCATAATGCTTCTTTTTTATTTCTGAGAAGTCTTAGAGCAAGTGTGTACTTGCAGTCTACTTTCCAAGCCAGGAGCTAACTGGAGTTTTATGGAGAGAAAGATGTGGTCTGTAATCATTCTTAACCTTTTGCCACAGGGACCCTTGACAGTTTTCTTTCTGATAGTTAGTGCTCAGCAACTCAGGTCATTGCAATAGGTGATACACAACCTGCACCCCCTTACCAATGGCATGGTTGGAGTTGGTTAGTTTTTTTATTGTCTTTCTTGGCCCACTATTTTGCTCCCCTCTCATTACCTCCTCTCATTCCTTGCACCCATGCTGTTCTCTATTCCTATTGTCAAAGCAGAGACCAGAAGTAAACAGTGATCCAAAAAAATGATGCTCCTGTACACTGCACATCACCTGAAATCTAAACTCAGGAAACAAACATCACATACTCTGACCAGGCCTGACCTGCTCTCTCCCAATTCTTCCCTAGGTACATCAGTGACTTTTGAATACAGTTCCTCACTGCTGGTCTTTTTCCCCAAACAGACTATTCCTTAAAAGACAGCAACAAAAGGAGCAGTTATTCTGTGAAACTTGGTTACAAAGAACTGAATAAAATATGATGTTAAGGTTCCACCCTGCTCATGGGGAAGCTGGTTTTTATTTCAAGGCCAGCTGCTGATCCTGACAACTTAATTATCAGTCAGGAAAAACTTGGCAAGTAAGAAATATTCCAGCATGGGTGAATAAGAGAGCATGAGAGAGTAGATCCAAGACCCACCCCTCTACTGTGATGTACAGGCACATGGAAGGATGGGCATTTTGGGGCTACAGAGGATGCTGGTTGGAAGAATGGAAAGTCTGTTTTCTCTAGTGATTTCACATTTTCCCTGAACAAAGGAAGAGGAAAAACCCTGATCCAATGATAAATATTTTACAAACAAACTATTCACCATGTTAAAGCTGTTCACTAGAGGCTTCCTTCCACTGGGAGGAGAAAGGAAACCAAACTCATGTCTCCAGCTTTACACTGTGAGCCCTTGCGTCCTGCTCTCACTCAGAAAGTCCCTCAGAGCCAAAACCATGTTCTCCTGACAAAAGGTATAGTTTCATCATAGTGAATTCACCCACAGAGAAAGGGAGAGGGAATTACATGGTCATATTCATATGAGATGAACTGAACATCAGTCACTGAGTGACTGAATCCTAGACCAACACAAACCATGAAAATGAAGGAGAGTTTTCACTGCCAGGACACTGCCCCCAGACACATGGGGGGCAACACTACAGTTGTCCTCTCTAAATCCCCAAAGTGGAAAGTAGCACTGGCTTAGCATAAGACAACAGGAAAAATAAAATAAGCAAGGCAAAAATGATGTTTTCAAACACGAATGAATAAGGTTCTTTGTGGTCAAGGCTATTACTTCTACAGAGACCAGAAAACTAAATGTTGGGTGGGTTGAGACATGGAATACTCAATGGAAGATTTGATTCATGTGGATCAACATTCTCAGGTGGGAGCAAATTAAATTAGTTACTTATATTAACACCTGAGCATCTAAGGAAAGCCACAATCGCCACTGGGGAGGAACCATCACTAAAAATCAGACGTTGATGATTGAGCTGCCTCACTGTAGATACAGGTATGTTATTTCCAGAAGAACAGGCTGAAAGTTTGGAGCACAATGTCTCTTTTGACCACTAGATGTCACTGAACAGCTTTAATTACAGGCTTGTACCATCAAGTTGCAAAAGTCACAGTATTTTATGGGAACAATTCAGTATTTCTCTTCATTCAGCTACAGCCACATAAGCAGCATTTCATGGAAAGATTCCTCACATCAAGGAGGACAATTCCCAGCACAGTTTAGGTGTCACAAAGCCAGAGCATACCTGCTTCATCAGTGGTGATGGTGAGCTCGTTGCTGGCCTCGCTCTTGCCGATGCGGTTCTTGGCGTACATGCGGATGTTGTAGGTTGAGGACGGGTGCAGATCGATGATAGTGGCTTGGTTCAGCTGAGGAGAAACGTCTTTGGTTCTCTGAACAGAATCCCAAGAGTCTATTGAATGAGAAACATTGATAAAAACAGACAAATAAATGATGATGTTAAGGTGGCTACCACAAACATGCAGTCAAACTGTCTCACAAAGCAGGATACTGCCATTGCCAGTTCTCCCAGAAAATGCCTCCTGCAACAAGCAAACCCAGCATCACCTTTCTTGACAGCACTCTCAGCTACTCCAGCTGTGGTGCTGTGAACAATGGGGTCTTAGCTCTAGGGTCATCAGCACATCTGAGGAAAATAGCTACTAGGCAGTGAGAGCAGCAAAGCTCCCCTAGATTTCTGAATGTGTATGTAGTGTTTTTTTACCACTGCTACATTGGAACAACTGTGAAAAAGATGGGGGCTGATGTCCAAGGGGATCATCACTCAGTGAGAAAGTTGTTTCTACCCCAAAAAAGACAGGGAAGGGAGTTATTAAATAGGAATGGCTCAGGGAGACCTTATTCCACTCTACAACTGCCTGAAAGGAGGTTGTAGGAATGTGAGGGTTGGGCTTTTCTCCCAGGCAACTAGGGAAAGGACAAGAGAACACAGCCTCAAGCTGCACTAGGGGAGGTTCAGGCTGGACATCAGGAAAAATTTCTTCATGAAAAGGGGGTCAGGCTTTGGAAGAGGCTGCCCAGGGACGTGGTGGAATCACCATCTCTGGAGGTGTTCAAGGAATGACTGGATATGGCACTTGATGCTCTGGTCTAGCTGACAAGGTGATGGTCGGAAAGGACAAGAGAACACAGCCTCAAGCTGCACTAGGGGAGGTTCAGGCTGGACATCAGGAAAAATTTCTTCATGAAAAGGGGGTCAGGCTTTGGAAGAGGCTGCCCAGGGACGTGGTGGAATCACCATCTCTGGAGGTGTTCAAGGAATGACTGGATATGGCACTTGATGCTCTGGTCTAGCTGACAAGGTGATGGTCAAGGTTGGACTGGACTCAATGACCTTGGATGTCTTTTCCAACCTAAATGATTCTGTATTTCCAATGGAGGGCTCTTA